ACGAAATACCAGATTGCAGAAGTTGGAAGAAAACCCTAATAAAATACCAGATTGCAGAAGCTGGAAGAAAACCCTACCAGATTGCAGAAACTGAATGAAAACCCTAACGAAATACCAGATTGTAAAAACTGAACCAGATTCTAGAAACTGAATGAAAACCCTAACGAAATACTAGATTGCAGAAATTGAATGAAAACTCTCGCGAAAGCTGTGTTTGAAATTATGTCAGATCCCATGAAATTTAGCTCTGATATCATGTTAAACAATCTAAAGAAATAAAGAAAAGAAGGCTAGAGTTTCATTGATTCTGCATAATGCAATTGAATAATAAAAATCTAGATATAAAGAGATTATATATAATCTAAAATAAAGGAAATCTAAAAGACTATTCTACCCTTAATAAATAATAAAACAAAATAATTATATATTTCTTAACAATGACAATTTCTATAAATTTATAAAAGGTTAAAAGGCACGATTTTTTGTGAACACTTTTATGGCGTATTGTATCAATTAGGGAGGGAGATTTATTTATCCCAAATTTGAGATAACCATAGACGGTCTTGGAGTGAAGCGTGGATATCTTTTATGGTCTCACATAATAATAATATTTTGTGGGCGCGCTCGGAATTTGAAGTGCTGGAGATTTTATATATGATTGTACCAATTTTTCATATATCGGAAGATCTCTCTCTTGTCCATATGTAGTTTTTCTTCGAGTTGGAATTTTTTTTTACATAAATCTGTGTTGTNTTCAGTAGCCATAATAAAAGAAAAGAAGAAGGAAACCCAAAGCGCAAAAGAAAGGGAAACGAAATACCAAATTGCAGAAGTTGGAAGAAAACCCTAATGAAATACCAGATTGCAGAAGCTGGAAGAAAACCCTACAAGATTGCAGAAATTGAATGAAAACCCTAACGAAATACCAGATTGCAAAAACTGAACCAGATTCTAGAAACTGAATGAAAACCCTAACGAAATACCAGATTGCAGAAATTGAATGAAAACCCTCGCGAAAGCTGTGTTTGAAATTATGTCAGATCCCATGAAATTTAGCTCTGATATCATGTTAAACAATCTAAAGAAATAAAGAAAAGAAGGCTAGAGTTTCATTGATTATGCATAATGCAATTGAATAATAAAAATCTAGATACAAAGAGATTATATATAGTCTAAAATAAAGGAAATCTAAAAGACTATTCTACCCTTAATAAATAATAAAACAAAATAATCATATATTTCTTAACAATGACAATTTCTATAAATTTATAAAAGGTTAAAAGGCACGATTTTTTGTAAACACTTTTATGGCGTATTGCATCAATTAGGGAGGGAGATTTATTTATCCCAAATTTGAGATAACCATAGACGGTCTTGGAGTGAAGCGTGGATATCTTTTATGGTCTCACATAATAATAATATTTTGTGGACGCGCTCGGAATTTGAAGTGTTGGAGATTTTATATATGATTGTACCAATTTTTCATATATCGGAAGATCTCTCTCTTGTCCATATGTAGTTTTTCTTCGAGTTGGAAATTTTTTTTACATAAATCTGTGTTGTNTTGTACCAATTTTTCATATATCGGAAGATCTCTCTCTAGTCCATATGTAGTTTTTCTTCGAGTAGGAAATTTTTTTTACATAAATCTGTGTAGTTTTTTGCACAATAATTTTATATTTTTTCTACTTTCCAAAATAAATTCTTTGAACAAGTATTTTCAACCAGAATAAATATTTTTGACAGATTTAATAATATAGAAGCAATTTGGCAAGCGTACAAACAAATTATCATTATTAATGAGAAGGTGCATCTTAGAAATATAGTCCAAGTTCCTTCTTCTTCTTTTATTTTTCAGAAAAAAGAGTAATACTATACATTGAACGCTATAATATTGTACTGCCACCAAGATCGCGCTACATATCACTATTCAATAAACATATATCGTCCAAATTCTTTCTATAAAAGGTATTATTATTGTACCGTGGGCTCTCCGGATTGATCTAGAAAGTTTGGGGCCGTAAGCTAAGTTTATAAGGAGGCTTCTATAAATAGGTGAAAATAAAATTAAATCAAATAGTTGGAGTTATGCTATTACAAAGTTGGATTACCAATTTGGTTGACAAAATAACATCTACACCAATTATTTTAAAAATAGATTTTTAAATCATTTAAAATCAACAGTCTGGATTTTGTCAATACACTTTGTAACCCAACTTTTGTAACTCAACTTTGTACAAATAACTTTATTGAATAAGGTTAGTCCTAAGTGACTACCACCTAGACCGTGCTACATAGAATATTGTCCAAATGCAACTACTCGCGGATTGGTTTTATTACATAATAAATTCTCAAGGATTTGAAAATTTCATTTTTCTTTTATTGATTATTCTGTTTCAATTAAAAATACTTGTGTAATTGTCTTTTCACCCGACATTTTAACATGAAAAATTGTCTTTTCACCAGTTTCGATGGCTCTAAATGATAGACTAAATTTTGTCCATTATTCTCTTGTATCATGCATGCTTACAAATCTTTATGGAATTAATTCTTAATAACGTCACAACTACAATACAACTATTGCATCATTATTTTACATATTTATTGAGCCACTGTTTGGTTTGAATAAAAAAATCAAGTAGATTTTGATAAAAGTTGATGAAACGTGTAATTGAAAAATCGATAAAAGTAATGGATTCCATGAAATGTGTAGTTGATATAAGTTTGAGGAAAAATGAAATTTAAGAAATGGGGCCAAACAAGGCTAAAGAATGCTCCTTGGTTCTTGAGAATGGTCGTTCAACTTAAGTAAGTAGCTCTTGGTGTCGATGCTGAAATTGTAGGATCTCTTGTAGACTTAGGAGCTTGTCTCATCCGATGCTCTCTCTCTCTCTCATGATCGATCTTACTTACAACTAGCTTGTAGCATTCTTGATATTCTAATGATCTGATCTAATAGTTTCATCTCCTTCTGGATTTCCTGATCATCCACACAAAGGTGCATTTTTTTTAATCTAAATTCTAATCTTGTAACGGTTCGAATCCATTTCTAAGCCAGCGAAGGGTCGAATTTCTCGTTCTCTTTTGAGGGCATGGCACTTAATGTTGCACCCTCACTATTTCCTATTGTCATGTCATGTCTTAACAGGTTTTGATGCTGTTACATACATGCTGCAGGTAATAAAAACATGTTTGGATATATTTTTTTCCCTTACAATTACGTAATAAAAATTACTTATTTTTAAAGTCACTCTTGGCATAACCAGAAACTCATTTAATTCTGTCTTTGACCAATAACAAAATTATTTAAGTTAAAACTTGTACTTTTAGGCTTAAGTTTTGCTCTAAGTCTTATTTCCAATGAACTTGAAGTCGCTTACATGAATCCTATTTCGCGATTTTGTAGAGTGGTTGCTAGATTCATTGCAACTTAATGTTAAATTGATCTACATCACCTTCGTTTAGGAAGCTTTCATTCATGAAGATTTTACTGATCATAAGGGTACAATAAGAACCGGTGATGTTCAGGTACTGAATATTAATTGCCATTTACTCATCTTCTTTAAGTTATTTGCGGAAGACAAACAAGAATAACATTCAAATTTGTTTTTTCTATTAAATTAAATACAATTTTCAAAATTTTCATGTATTGTCTTGTGCAGTGGATGACTGTAGGGAGGGGTATTGTTCACTCAGAAATGCCTGAATGAGAAGGTACTCAAAGAGGTCTGCAGTTGTGGATAAATCTCTCCTGACAAAATGTAAGTCATGTCTAAGCACAAATCTCTCAAATGATGGATTGACCTAAAATGCTTTAAAAATAAATAAAAAATGACAGTCATGTTTGGCTAAGTATAAGAAGTTTAGTTACAAGTAAATCAGAAAGTTAACCAGACCGAAATAGAGAGAAATGATTCATGTAACCAACACTTCATTTACTAAAAGCATGATTTAGTTAGTTGTGCTGGAGTCTAAATACTTGTTATCTGTAGGGTTGAACCAAGGTATCAAGAATTGTTGAGTGTGGACATCCCAAAGGCAGAGAAAGATGGAATTTATGTCAAAATCATAGCAGGTGAAGCAATGGGGGTTCTGTCTTCAGTCCTGACTTGAACTACCACAATGTAACTTGACTTCACTCTACAACTCGACACTCACTATCATCAAAGTACACCGGAATCTTGGAATGCATTTGTGTACACATTTGAAGGTGAAGGGGTTTTCGGGATCCTAAGTTCATCACCTGTAGAAGCTCATCATCTGTTGGTTTTGGGTCCTGGAGAAGGTTTAAGTGTACGGAACAAGTCTTCTATGGCATTGAAATTCATTCTGGTGGGTGGTCAGCCACTCAAATGAACCAGTAGTTCAGCAAGGCCTTTTTGTTATGAACACACAAGCTGAGATTGAAAAGACTATAGAGGACTCTTGCAGAAAGACCATATTTGAAATGGCAAGATATTGGAGATCAAAATGAGCAACTAGAGAATAAAACTATATACTACTGTCCCCAAATCGAAGCCCCAATATTATTATGTATGGGATTTTCCTCTTAGAGCATGCTTGGCTAAGCTCCAATATCAATAACTAGTCTTCTCGTTGCTGTCCCTTAACCAGTTATGTTGCTCTATGCTTGAATCAACCTCTCCATCACGACAATGTACAAGCAAGAGAATGACATTTATCACTCAAACATTTCTATGCACAATTTTCTTTTCTTACTAATTTAACTATTAAGAATCGAAGAGAATGATAGTATATCTCATCTAATATACACATATACAAGTCGGAAAGTACACCTCAAATGGAAACAAATCATATATAAGCTACCAATGAAGCCGAAAACTGGCAGCCTGCATAAGCGGGTGAGCAAAGTATGCACCTAAAGTCAATGCTGTTATTGTTATATATGGTAGTCGAAGAAATTCCTTGTAATAATCTTTTGGCAACTTCTGGCGCCCATCAAGAATCGCTGCAAATGGAATGACACTTGTTCTTGCTTTTAAAACTTCAAAAGCCTCCCCATATCGTATGGCCAACCTTCGGTCTCCATTCCAGACACCAAAAAGATGGTGCACGATCAAACCCACAGAAGCTGCCACTGCAACAGAATTCCCAATCCAAATTGTGTGAGCCACACACCAAAGTACCTGCCCAACCATCTGAAAAAAAGAACATAAAAAAACAAATGAGTGCCTGTATGGATATACTGTACTAGACTATAGCAGACACTACAATAGAAAATATTTTAATTTCTTTTTATTTTGATAACATCAAATGTAATCTAATCCACCTTACCAAACATGCCATGAGATTGACAACCCAGGGACAAGGGGAGGTGGAGTGGGGTACTAAGGGGAGAGTCAGAGGCAAAGGGGCAGAGAAGCAGTTATAGAAAATCGACTACGTACAATTAAGCTTATGACATATATAACAAGAAGATTCAAGATAAATTTTAATGTTGCTACTCAATTCTCATGAACCACTAGTCCTTGAAGAACTTCCATTTACATGTCTAGCATATCGAAGTACACTTCATGACTAATTTACTGAGCCATAAAGTAATGAAGATAGTATATAGAACAGAATTAAACAAGCATTGATTATCTTCTTGATTCCATTATGCCAAAATTGAATATGACAGCAAAAATGTAAATATAAATATAATCAGTCACAATTTCATCCAAGATCTATATAGATTTTTCTAGTGGACATCGTACTTTTATTCATGCAATGTGGTGAATTTTTTTTACCTTCAAGGACTTCTATAACTTGTTGCGTAAAGAAATCTTGAACGAAACTGGAGTACTAATTATTGTTAACTAAATAAATATGGAAAATCCACTGAATTTTCATATGTAGTTAAGTATCAGGTTTTGTCATAGATTTGCAACTTTATAGAAGACTATTAGTCCATTACATGATTTGTAAGAAACCATTAGATCCCATTAAATAAAGGAAGGAAATCAAATAATGAAGAAATCAGCATGACTCAATGCAGCATCGTACATGTTCGATAAATAAATCTAAAAAAAGGTCAAAACTTCCTGACAGAACCTAACCTTGGCATAAACCTTGGTTACATTTCATCGTCTAATGTATGCCTTTAGGTATGCACCAGTGGCAAGTCATTCTTCAGAAGTAGAGAGCAAAATAATAAACATAATCATTGATAGTATTCGACTCAATATACTTCGATTCTCTAACTATTCATTATCTTGAGTTAGAAATATCATACCAAATGCGCTTATTCGGATCAAGTTTTCATTTATTAAAACACAATTCTTAACACCATGTTAGATGCTAAAATACCATCACGTCATTGTGGTGATACTCAATACTTGTTATACTTTTACTAGGATTTGTACGAGGTAAAGAAAGAAAAAGAAATAATCCTTATCAATAACTTATACGCTGTATCTGTTTCTTTGAACTACTCCTGCTTGCCAAATAGTTAGTGTAATTATAAAGAATTGAAATGAATAGATTTGCATTATATGCTCAACCACCAAGTCATGTATTAAAGCCTTAAATTGATCATCCTTTATATCATCTGTCATACTTTTCATTTTCATCTCAAAGAAAAAAAGAGAGAGTAAAAGCCAGTCATAAAATGGTTTTGCCAACTAAAACATTGTGTAGGGGAAGATAATGAATTTGTTAATATTTTAGTGGAACCATTAAATTGGGTTAAGTGATGTTGCTTATTGAACAAGAATTTATAGGATATTGACTCGATAATCGATAATATGAATTCATGTATGCATATAAAAAAATTCAGTTACTCTCCTCCATATTATATAAAAGATTGCTCAGCCGTCTTAAATCAGCTTTCAGGGAAGTGTTGAAAATATAACATAGACAGATGAAATCCACATCTTCCCTCAATTCAAATGGATTTTCCAGAGGATATTGTAAATATCAAGTTGGCCACGTGGGTCCAGAGGCGCCGTAGCAGAAACCCATTGATCCCATAACAAATAATCTCAGCATCGAACTCCCCAGCAACTCTCAAACTGTCAATCTATATTCTCCATCCTTCCTTTATTTTCACTTTTGTAAACATCTTCCACCCTTCACTCTAAGAAATCATTCTACTGCCATGTCAACGGATTCAAACACTCGCCCATCACTTCCTTCATCAACAAAATTCAACTCTTTTTACTCAATTCACTTGGCCCCCTTCTTGCCACTGTTTCCATATTTTTCTCTCTTTCTTTTCATTTCTTTTTTTTTTGGAAACATAAAAATTAGTCACTAAGAAAAAAAGGATATGCAAATGGTCCTCTCACCATCATGATCTTGGTGGGTGTCTGTATGCTTCGGCTACATTTAGGGTAATGAAATGGTACACCAGACAACAACTATATGGCAGACTTTTTGAAAGATACCATATACTCTATTAGTTGAATGAGGGACAATTTTGATGAAAAAAATTATATTTGTTTCAGCCATTATTGCAAATATATGAAGTAGGATACACAGCATTCCTCTATGATGAAAAAGAAGTACTATGAAAGGTTGTTTCACAAATCAGTATCAGTATAGGGCATTAGAACTAATTAGTTTCGAGACATGGAACATGGATTCTACCACGGAATTTTATTATATACACGAAATTAGTAGCTAATCACATATGTACTACTAGAGCGCCAATTAAAATTGAACATTCATACCTGTGGGTGCCTTGTAATTCTCATAATCCCAGTTTCCCAAAGATGCATTCTGGGCTTGTCAACAGCTGCAACCTC